GCATACCCCAATCCCTTTCTGCAGAATAAGCGGACATGTCAACTAGATCTAGCTGGAATTGCCAATCTATTGAATTCACTAAAACCTTTCTCTTACAATGCACTGGAGCCGTCTTGTGTAGAGTATAAGCATCTTGCTTCATGAGCCAGTTTTCTATATCTGAATCTGCACACCGAACTCTAGTACTGTCAAATATAACCTTTTTAAGGTTATAATGTTATTTTAAGGTCCGTAATCCCCTACATTGTCTGTCGCATAGTATTTATTTTTCATCACCTCCTCCGTGATCTTTGTTACAAAGACTGACCCTTCAATGCCCAAGCGTTTTATTTCCAAGGACACAGGCCTACACGACATATCTGTCAGTGAGGATTACAAGTATACACTTTTCAGAAAATCAATACGTGCAACTATGTTTTTACAAACCAAAGACTCAATACATCACATCATCAACATCAACATGTTGCTTTCTGGTTTGCATTAAAACACACAAATCAATACTAAAAGTCCAAAAACAAAACACATGACCCAAATGAAATTCATTATTATTCAAAGGAAAAACATTTGCCTCATCGAGTAGAGTAGATTTCACATCTGCATATTTATCTGCAGTCATTTGCACCATGGTACGCCATCCTATGTCTAGCTTAGGTTTACTGTAACTCCTAATCAGTCTGTACTGTTATTTTTTGTTGTTAGAGAACCACACTCACACCTTGTATATGCTTTATAGATAAACAGTCCAAACTGTAGACCCGGACTCTGCATCCTTTCTTTATTAACTCTCACCTGAGCACAAAATAGTGTCCTGACCCGACACCCTGAAGCGGTTGCTGCCACGCCTGTTGATCCACCCCATACACATTCTCTCACGCACTGTCTGTGTCACATATTGCATTGTTAACAGTTTCACACAACAGTGCTCTCCTCTTATACATGATATATCTCTTTTTGACATAGTTTAGTAGACTATAAACATTTCCCATTGTTTTTTAGTGTTTTTCACCCTTTCAGATGTCCAGAGATTCCTTAACTACTGTGCTCACGCAGTCCTCCACTCTAACTACCCGTTTAAGTGATGCAATGAGAAACATGTTCCTCAACCAAATCTGTAGAGCACCTGCAGCAATATACCGAATGCTGCACTCACACGTTGGTACCATCCCAAGACCGCGTAATAAATACTTTAGAGCATCTGCAAATTTTTTGTTAAAAAGCTTCTGCGTAATTTCCCCTTTATGTCCTTTGCCCTATGTACTTTCATATGAAGCTGTACTGTCCAACAAAATACTAATGAAGACACTCATTTTAAATTTAAAGTTTGATGTTGATGACACCAACTAGCATAGAAATAGCTCTAAAAAGGGGCTTGCTTGTTAAACATTTCTATTCCGGGCATACCTGTAGAGATGTGCCTTCCAGAGCGCTGTTAATATATGGGGGTGGAAAATACAAAATGTATAAGGAATATATTTAATGTAATAATTTAATAGACATACGGTAGCTTTGCTTAGCCTACATGCAATGAAACAAGCGCCTGACTCTCTCCATCCGTGTAGAATATATAGGCTAGTATACCCCAATGTAGTTTATCATGTGTTGTACGCTAATTCCAATGTTTCTTTTCTTGATTCCCATGTGGAGAGACAAAACTTTTTAAATGACGTGTACATTTTGACTGGTTTTCCACCAATGCAGCAGTAGGTTATATTACTTACTAAAGAGAATGTGTTTAAAGACTGTATGCACTGATCGTCAACAGTTTCAGCGCTATCCTTAACAGACGTGGATTTCCATTAAGAACTTTGGCTGAACTCCTGATATTTGTACTTGCTTCATTTCCCTACAAGTATTTTCACTCTGTGTTGTGTTGACTGCAGTTTCAGTGTTGGAAATTTTAATATTAAGTTCTTCTGAGGGTTGCACGTGTTTTGAACGCCCTGCTTTCCCATGAACTAGTCTGATTAACTGTAAGAATCAGGTACATATTTCTCCTCTGGTAAATTCAATTCACTTGAACTTGGTTCTTAAAAAGAAAAAAGCTAAAAAAGGTCTTACTATGTAGTACATAACTTTGAGAATAATTCCACAATAACGCTTACCAACCTACCTATCTATTTACATATTGAAGCATAAATATAGTATTCCACTGTTGAAAGTAAATCTCATTGTATCAAGCATAATCTATACTAATAATCATTTAGATGCTTAATTGGGCTGCAGACCACTGTTTGTTTTGAAGAATGTGCTATTCGTGGTTGGGTTCATTTTTCACTTCACTTTAATTTAGTGGCCAATTGATGTTTGTGTGTCTCTTTGGTGTTTATCAAGAAAATTTGTACTAAAACTTTGTATCAAGGTACAAACTTTAGATTCTAAAATTGGAGACTGTATATAGTGTGATAAATTCCAGAACAATAGTTTTTTACATGGAAATCAATATGACTTTTTATACGAATGTATGCGTTTAAAGTAATTCAGATTGTTTGTGAAGAAAATGGTTGCCTCAAACTTGTTGGATTGCAGCCTGTAAGACTTAAGATAGTTGAATAGATAGAATTGAGCCGTCCATGTTGAGTTCAGTGTTCATGTGCACTTGAGCAGCTCTAAGTGCTCTGAGTGTAATTTGATAATGAAGATGTAATTTCATAATCAGTATTGTTGTCACCACATGAGTAGTACCAGTAGTACCAGCCTTGGAAAATGTTTTGTGGACCCTTTTCCCATCTTAAGTGGCTTGGTGTGAGATGTAAAGATGAGTATTTTGATAACTAAATGATGGATTCATGAATGCTTAACTTTAAACATAATAAGTAATACTGAGGACTCTTTTTCCTTTGTAAGAATGCTTTGGCAGTTAAGAGGTTTAATTTGACTTTTTTTTAATGTTTGATTCACCAATATACATTTATTACGCTTTTATCCAAAGCGACTTACAATGGCTGTACATGTCAGAGGTCGCACACCTCTGGAGCAACGAGGGGTTAAGTGTCTTGCTCAGGGACACAATGGTGGATGGGTCACAGTGAGAATTGAACCCAGGACTCCCACACCAAAGGCAAGCATCTTATCTATGCGCCATCACCATCGCTTTACATGCATATGGCCAAATATGCAAATCAGCTGATGACGTCATTTAGCTATTTCTAGCGACTTTTCAGAAAACCAATAGTTACTTCCGTACTGAGGAGTTTTTTGGTATTTTTTTAAACTTTATTAACCACAATCAGATGAACAAAAAAGTGAGGCCACAGCCAATCGACAAAAAGGCAGTAAAAATTGATTTAATAATAAGTGATATCACTGAAAAACTACAGACAGACCTTCTTTTCTTATGGCTGACATGAGCTGGTATCTGGAATTAACACCGGTGAAACTTTAACACTTGTGTATTTCCACAGTTTCCTCTCATTCAGCTGTTTGATTCAACTCTCAAAAGAGACTCAATCAAGATGAGCGTTGTCCCACTTCCTCTGAGTTTGCTTTAAATTACTTTCATAACAGAACATAAAAAATAACCTGAACAGAGATATAGATGTTAAAATGACTGCATATCAAACAATAACAGCTGATACAGAAATAACAGTAAAAACTAATACATGTTTAACTACAACACAGCACTAGCACATTAAAGTGCCTGACAGCAAGTTCATCAAGCTAAATGTCCCATATATTATGTTCAGTTACATTTCAAGCAGCAAGATAATGTTGTTATTGTGCTACTAGTTAACCTACTGCACCCCCTTCTGGACTAAAAGGCTTTTTACAGCAATAAATCCTGAAAATGATCATAAAATAAGTCTAATAAAAACATTTATCAGTTATCAATGAACTGTAATGATATGAGCTGTAACTACACTGTGGTCTCTGTGGTCTCTTATTTGTTTGGTTTGTTGACGGTGGCGTAGAGGTCGCTGGGATCAGCTGAGAAGGAAGCTTTCACGGTGCTGTAGGTCACTGCATCATCTTCATCATCACCATCTTTACCCAGAACCTGGAAAAGAGACAAACAGCACAACACAGAAATTACACAACATTAAATGAGACAGAATAATGCAGGTAAATGCAACATTATGATATCCAGCAGCACATAAACACAAAGCTCAATAATGAAACAGCAAACAACACAACACAAAACAGTGAGTCAGTCCAGTCAGTTCAGTTTGAAGATGTGCTGTTAAAGATCTGTTTGTACATGTACTGAGCTCCTCTGGCCGCTCGTTGGTGAGATATTTTGTTCTGGACCAAATTGTTGGACACACTGACATCACAATCCTTACATGTAGACCTGGGCTTTAAAGGGAAAATAAAGAATCTGTCCTGTTTTTATACCTGAGAAGTGTTTTCATTCACTGCCATCATCACTAGAACCAATCAGACAGCTTACCCGGCCTTTACTGTTGGTCTTCCTGGTGTAGCTGATGGAGGCGTAGGAAACACCATCTTCAGGATCAGCCTACACAGAGAAGACAACATAATGGCTGCTCAGTAACATGTGGACTTGATTGTGTTCTGGTCTGTTCTGGTGTCGTCCAGCTGCATCATCAGACTCCCCACTTCTTCTCTTGCAGAAAGAACTTAGATTCAAGAGTCACTGTGTGTCTCATAGAGCTACATTTTGAACAACAAATCTAAAAACAGTGAGTGTAACTTTGTCCTGGGTGTAGTGTGAGATCTCACCGTGTCCTGACTGCTTTCTGGACTCACTGCAGGGTTTAAGCTCCGTCCCTGAAAACAACAAACAAACAGAGTCTACTTCCATGTGGTCAAACACTGGCTCTGTGAAGGCTGTTTAGATTTGGATGACTCTGTCAGAGAGCAGCTGATTCAGCTCTGTCATAACTGTAGAAACATTTGATTACTCAGCCGTAAAACTCACAGTGTTTTCATCCATCTGGGGTTTTTTTCCTGAAGAGACAAAAGAGAGTCGACTTTAGCTTCAACAATAAAAATCCAGGTTCATCAAAACTTCTTGTTTATAATATCTGTGGTTGCTCTCACCTTTAGTTTTCTTCCATCTGATGAGAGCAACAACAACAACAATTATTATTAATCCTGCAACTCTCACAAACACAGTGAGCCACCACAAAGCTAGAAGTAGAATAAAAACATTAAAAACATTTTTGCAGCTTTTTGTTTTGTTCTGTAATCATGTACAACAAACAATAAAAAAAAAAAATTAAATAAAAAGTAAAATTTTGAAGTTTAGAATGGGGAGAGAAAGAGGCTGACAGGAAGACAGAGAGACTCTAGAGAAAGATGAGTTACTACCTTGTAGTTTTGTTGAAGCATCATTGGTTGTTGTTGTGGCTGTAACTGTTTTCAGTTGTTGTTGTTGTTTGTGCGTCACCTGCACAAATGAAAAAACACAACCCAAGAAACTGTTCAGTTAGATAATACCTCATGTTTACCATCTGCTGTCACTAAATGAGAAAGAATGATGTCATCTTAAAAAGTCATCAAATAAACAAATGTTTTGGTGGTTTTAGTCATCTTGAACAGCTCAGCATATTCTAACCTGTTTTCTCACCCGAAGACTGAGGGCTGAAGGTGAACAGCTGCACTTTTCTAGAGTTACGATCTGTCACTTCACATGTCAAGTTAGACTTTGATTTGTTAATAAAATGAGAATCTGGGAAAGACACAGTGGTGTAGCAGACAGACTGTGATGTCTTCATGTCTTTGTTATCTTTGTCCACATCTTTACCCTCATACAGCCACTTCACTGTGTGTCTACAGAACTGTTTATGCGTCAACACAGAGCAGTTTAACGTCACCTTATCACCGTCCTGATGTTCAGTCACTGGTGAAGATGGAGATATTGTGAGAAAAAGACAACAAGAGTAAAGTTAACTTCATCACTGTGATCATAATTATTGTAATGTTTCAGTATATTGTTCTAACAAGACAGTTTGAGCTGAAAACATTATGATGGAAATACTCACTGATAATAACAGACAGATGAACCAGAGAGTCTGGAGCTTGTTGTCCTGATTTGTTGAACTGTCTGCAGCCGTAGTAACCAACATCCTCGACTGTGACTTTCTTTATAACCAGAGAACAGTTCTCTGTAACACTCAGTCTGTCTGATTTAGATTTGGCTTCATTGTGAATCTGCCCAAGTTCAAACAGCTTTACTGCTGGTTTGTTTCCTGAACCACTGAAGATCCATGTAGTATATTCACATCTTTGCTGACCGTCTATCACATTTTCACAAGGCAAAGTCACTTCATCTCCAACTCTGACAGTGAAGGAGAGGGGAAGTTTTCCAGCTGCTGCTGTTGAGAAAATGATGAAAAATAAAGTTCATAGTTAGTGACGATTATTTCTTTATCCTTAGTTTCCAAGAGTTCACTAAACTCACCACATTAGAAACAACAGATTTGGTTTTCTTAGTTAAATCAAATGTAGCTAATAAAGAATCTTTAATAATATTGATCAAGTTATTTTTTACAATGTGCCTTCCATTTATATATGTGATATATGTATTCTTACCTGTAAACTGAAGCACCGCTGGAAGAAATAAAGAAATCCATTTGAACTCAACCATCATGATTCTCTGAGTCTCTCCTTCTTCTGTCTCTTGTTCTCGTGCTCAGAACTGTCTGAGTTTCTAAACTAGTGCTTTAGTAGAGATACTCTGCAGCTACTTCCTGTGGTTAGGATGATGTTACTTCCACATAGTGACTTTTATTCTTTTGTAGCTTTCAGTCGCTCTGAATTTCTTGTTGATGTCCAAACAGCCAAAAACTCATTGTGGAAATATAGTTTTTTCTCATCCACAGTGACTGACAGAGACCCCAAATTCTTGATCAGAAATATGAGATGCAGCCATCAGAGATGCAGCCATCAGAGTTCACACTTTGTTCAGTCTCACAGTGTATGAGTGACAATGAGGTGTTTCACCAACTGAAAAGAAGAAGAGGAAGTTGAAGATTGTTAGTTAAGATAAATGTTTTCAACAATGCAACTTGTTTTCTTCAGTTAGTTTTTATTAGAACAGACAGAATCCATGTTCATGTTTGACAGCACACCAGAATCTGACTCCTGATGTCCATGGTGTAATATGGTGATACTGTAGCAGCTGGTGAAGAACACAGATAATATTTTATTGCTGGTTCCTTGTTGTGTCTTTGCAGTTATTTTTGTTTTTCAGAGATCTGATTAGGAAGTGTTTTGGTGAGGATGTGGTTAACAACAGCAGCAGAGCTCTGCAGGCTTTACCCTCTAATGATGACCAGTTCAACATCAGAAACACAGGAGGCTCACAGGAACTGACAGTACTTTATTAGGACTTAAGACAAAGAGACGCTTATTTAGTAACTTATGCTGAATGGCGGGGGAGGAGGTCATAGGAAAGTATGGAGGAGCCAGGTTGCTTAAGGCTTTCTAGGCGATGAATAGAAGTTTAAAGTGGAAGCCAGTAGAGGTTGTGAAGGATGTGATCTCTACGACAAGTGGAAGTGAGCAGGCGGGCAGCAGAGTTCCGGATGTATTGAAGTTTATTGAGCATTTTGTTAGGTGAGCCATCTATGATGTTGTTGCAGTAGTTGAGTCTGGAAGTGATGAGGGCATGGAAGACTATTACTGCAGTAGTAAAGGCCAGAGGTGTGCAATGTTTTTGAGGTGGAAGAAGGCAGTTCATGTGACCTGGTTGATGTGGTTGCAGACCTGGGTGGTAGGGGTGACAATGGAGCCATCAATGTTGAGTGAAAATGACTGGGTGGAGTGGGTGAGAGTGTTAGGGCCAATGATGAGGATTTACGATTTATTGCAGTTGAGTTTCACGAAGTTCTGTAACATCAAAGACTTAATGTCTGCGAGACAAGTAGTAAGGGTGGTGTTGTTAGGCTTGGGTGATGAATTTGTAGGAGAGGTAAAGCTGAGTGTCATCGGCATAGCAGTGGAAATGGAGGCCATTTTGCCAGAGGATCAGTCCAATTGGAAGGGTGTATATGATGGAGACCAAGCACTGAGTCTGAGATACCCCACAGGAGAAGGGTGTATATGGTGGAGGATTTGCAGCTGTTTCTGTAGATGTATTGTTGATTGTCAGAAAGGTAGGAATTGAGCCAGGAGAGGGCAGTGCAGGTTAAGCCGAGGGAGTACTGAAGCTGTGTGAGAAGGATGGAGTGGTTGATGGTGTCAAAGGTGGCGCTGAGGTCATGGAGAAGAAGTATGGTGAGGAACCTTCAGTCAGCATATACCTTCAGTAAGAGGCATACATCTGTGGAAAGCTTTACCATCTGAAATTAAAACATTGACAGAACTCAAGGTTTTTAATATACATTTAAAGCAAAGGTTGAAACTAAAACAACTCTGTGAACACTGACTGTACAGGATACAATGCAATGCATACAAACATGATGTTGCATATGTTAGCATGCACAGATATATGCACACGTTTGTGTTCTTGTATTGTTTGTTGTGTCTAGACTCTGTTTATAGTGATTTCTACATCTACTTCAGTCCATATCTTATTACATGTATCGGATGTATTTATTGTATGTATTTTAATGGTTGTAAATTTTAAACTATATACTCTGTAATCTCTGTTTTAATTTTATAAGCCTAACCAGGGACAGGGGTTGCAAATTAGTAATGGCTAGAAACCTGAATGCATGGCATCTACTTTGTATTCTTTATAAAGCAATGTTCTATGCATTTGTCCCTGTCAAATAAACATTTAATAAAATATATAAGTACATCAATTGTGATTTTAAGTAGGGCTGTTTCTGTGCTGTGTTTGGAGTGGAAGCCTGATTGGAAAGTTTTATAAATGTTATAGGAGTTGAGGGGGGATTTGAACTGAGCACCAACAACTCGCTTAAGGATTTAGGACAAAAAGGAAGGTTGGAGATTGCATTTACTGGCAGTGAAAGAGATAGAGATGGTGTCCCATGTTTTTGACAAGTTTGTTGATGTTGTAAAAAGGCGTTTTGGGGTTGTTGCAGCCACAAGTTTAGTTTTTGTAGGAGCAATCTTCTCAGTGCAGCATTTTAGGTGTGTATCAGGTCAGTGAGAGAAACTTTCAGAGCAAAGGTAGAGTCAGGGATGTTGTCAGCCAGGATGGAGCAGAGAGGAAGGGTTGATTAACTTGAGGTTGCAGATTATTACGGTGCAACAATGGGAGTGGGGATGTCTAGGTCCAGGGTGAAGTGGTTGGAGATGGTGAGGTCCGATATTTGTGCCAGGTTTCTGTAAAGCAGAGGAAGTCCAGTTTATTGTCCATAATGAATTCTCTGAGAATGGGGTCCTTTGAGTTTAAGGATCGGGTTTTCTACAGTGCGACTTTCAAATGTGATTGTGTCATAGACTGTATATAAAAATGGACGTAGCATCCGTGACGTCACCCATTGGTTTCTGAAGAGCTGTTTTGAAGCTCAAAATTGGCGGAGCTGGCCGGTGCCATCTTGGCAGCGCGTCACCGCGCGTCACTCCCGGATAACCAAAAATGGGCAAAGAGGCTGGTTGTAGGTGGAGCTGAGGTGACGTGTTGCTGAAACCACTCACGCCTAGCTAACATGACCGAGTTAGCTCATGCTAAGGAGCTAATGCTACATGCTACTCTGCGGTGCTGTACGGTGGAGGTTGGAACCTGCGGCTGGTTGTTACCAGTTTACCGACATTACCAGCTACAGTCAAGGTAAGTCACCGGAAAATATTAAAATAACTCACATATCTGTTATTGACATTATACTTCACAAGGTTTTAAATGCTTTTTGATATATAAATGTGGTAACATTAACGTTATTTTGAAACACTAAAGTTAGATTTTGTTGAGACGAACGTTAACAGGTAACTTAACGATAACGTTAACTATGAATCAGTTATTAATTACCTTAAGTTTAATTAACGTTACAGCTCAAACGAACAATTTCAAGCAAATCAATTTACATACCGTTGGTTACGAGCGGTTAGGAGTCGTTTATTTGGACATCACCTCAGTATGTTACTTGTAATAAACTAATAAGCTAGCGGTAGAGTCCTCAGTTACATGATGGAAGCTGTATATCTTGTGAAACGTTAGCCATGGCTGTTATCACGTTAATTAATTCCCCACACCGCAATTTTGAGTAACGCTGCTGCTGTCGGCAGGGCTGTGTGGGATTATTGTCTGGAATAGGACACTTGAGAGAGAAAGGTAAGGTAGGTTTTTATATTTGTCACAAGATTGTTGTTTCAGGTTCTGGTGCCTCCACATCTGCGACTCAAAGCTTAAAGTTTGAGTCTAAAATAATGTTGCTACTCAAAGCTACTGGACATTTGACAGCTGATATAAAAGGACAACACAACATTTAAAGAGTCTCCCTTGTTCCATTTACTCCAAATTATGTGACATAATAGTGCTGTCAACATTAAAACACTGAGGCATCTTTTAGAGGACCATCTCAAAAAATTTGAATACTGAGGAAAAGTTCATTGTGAGCATCAGAACCAGACTGAGAGAGTTAATTAGCTGATCAGAGAGCTCTTCTCCAGTTATTTCTGTATAATCTATAATATAGAAATGTATTTTTATTCTAAAATGTTTATACATTTTGAGATAGTGGAGTTTTTATTTCCATGAGCTGTAAACTGTAATCATCAAGATGAAAGCAAAAAGGGTTTGAAATGCTTCACTTTGTGTAATGAATCTAGAATATATCAAAGATTCACTTTCTGAATTAAATTACATTAGAAAATTAACTTCACCACAATATTCTATTTATTAAAGAATCATCTGTATTTACTTTATATTTTTTATCACCTGAAGAATTTATTACACATTTTCTTCCCAGAGGCACACTGTGGAGCAGATATCCCACCTGGTGCCAGAGAGCTGCAGAGACCTGGAAGCCTTGTTATTGTTGTGGAAGTCTGTATCCGTTGGCGTGGACTGATGTGGAAAGGCATTCTCTCCTTCTGTTTATTTTGAGTTTTAAATATTGTCCATATTTGTATCATAGATCCATTTAAAAATAGATATGGTTTATGCTTCCTGAAAAGCTAATCTTATACCACAGATAAAACAACACACATTAAAACTGAACTTTTGCTTAAGAACATCAGTCTAGTATAAGTTTAAAAGTGAAAATACCCAACATGTTTCACATGAAATCATGAAAAGTAATTATGCAGTGTATTATGTGTGTGCAGGAGTATTTTTACTTTCTACCTTATACTTTAAGATAAATAAGGAGCCATATACCATAACAGAGCCTGAAGTTTCTGAAGAGTGCCTTGTTTGCTGCTCTGATATAAGTCTAGTTTAAACACAGAAACAAAGAATGATCTGCAGAGTAATTAGGAATCCCACTAGGTGGTTTTTATTGTGATCTTGCAAACTCTAAGGTCTCAGAGCTGACCGAATGCACATGTAGTAAATAGGCGAGGCTATACAATGTAAACCGCACAAGAGCTTCTCAGAGGTCGCAATAATTGACACCTCCTACAGGGCTTCAAAACTATTCAGTGTGCAGATTATTCTTTTCGTTTTTCACTACAGAGTAACTTCTCAGTCAATGTCACATTTGTCTCTTAAAGAAATGTCTAAATAAAACAGTATATAATATCAACCTTTCATGCATTACTTTCTACTAACATATATGCAAAATGTTAGTCTATAAATAACATCTTAAAATTTTCATTTACAGCTGTTAACTATAAGTTTAGATTAAAATATGAAACTGATGATGAATGATGATTTTATTATGTATAATTAGTCTGATACACTTTATAACAAAGTATTCCTAATATACAAGCAATAGTTTAATAAATTAAACTCTTGTCTTGCATTCATGAAAACATCAATATTAAAAGGCTACAAATGTAAGTAGTTTTGTATGACTTGAAATGTGTTGAGTTATTATAATGATAGAATCTGTTGATAAGAACCCCGTGTCATGATTTCACGTCAGTAGTGTTCAGGTGTTGTGAGTAAAAATAAAAGAAGGAGTTTTTTGACTACCTCAGTGACTTCCACCAGGGAAATTGATAAGAAACCCCCATCAGCCTCCAGCTCTGCCTCTACAAGAGAGGGCATGTCAGTCGGATTTAGGAGTTCCTCAAAGTGTTCCTTCCACCGCTCAATTACCTCCCCAGTTGAGGTCAACAGGGTCCCATCCTTACTGTACACAGCTTGGACGGTTCCCCACTTCACCCTCCTGAGGTGGCGGACAGTTTTCCAAAAGCACTTTGGTGTCAACCAAAAGTCCTTCTCCATGTCTTCTCCAAACTTCTCCCACACCCGCTGCATTGCATCCGCCACAGCAGAGGCTGCAGCCCTTCGGGCCCATCGGTACCTTGCGTCCGCCTGCGGAGACCTCCGAGACAACAAATCCCAGAAGGCCTCCTTCTTCAGTCGGACAGCTTCCCTGACCAACGGTGTCCACCACGGTGTTCGAGGGTTACCGCCCCTTGAGGCACCTAAGACCTTGAGACCACAGCTTCCCACTGAGATTTCAGCAAAAGAAGCTTTGAACATTGCTCATGTTCAATGTCCCCAACCTCCACAGGGAAGCCAGAAAAGCTTCACCGGAGGTTTGAGTTGAATATTTCATGGACAGGGGCCTCCTCCAGATGTTCCCAGTTCACTCGCACTACCTGTTTGGGCTTACCGGGTCTGTTCAGAGTCTTCCCCCACCTCTTGACCCAACTCACCACCAGATGGTGATCAGTTGACTGCTCCGCCCTTCTCTTCACCCGAGTGTCCGAAACATGCGGCATCAAATCAGATGAAACAATTACAAAATCTATCATTGATCTTCAGCCTAGGTACCACGTACACTTATCCATGACTAGCACAGAAGTCTAACAACAAACACCCACTCGGGTTCAGATCAATAAATATTTGGTTTAATTAATTTGAGTCATGAGCAAATTAGCACTTAATTCTATTAAAATACTTATTTTGTTGAGGAAAGGGGACTGAAAAAAGATTTACTAAGCATATTTGTTGAAAAAGATTCTATCATAATAGTTTTGAATGTTCTACCTCACATTTGCGAAGTGATCCACTGTTGCGCATCAAGTGTTTGTCACATTCTGACCATAAAGAAAAGTTTAACCACATAGTTAACCATCTGGTTTTCACTCAGGAGCAAAAATCAACCTCTAAATTTCAAAGAAATAATGATTTGATATATATTGTGATAAATATCAATATCAAATGATATGAAATGTTTTTATCGTGGTAACATTTTTGGCCATATCGCCCAGCCGTTGTTTATATGTTCAATAATAAAAAATTCAATTCAATTCAATTCAATTTTATTTATATAGCGCCAAATCACAACAACAGTTATCTCACAGCACTTTTCATAAAAGAGCAGGTCTAGACCGTACTCTATGATGTTATTTACAGAAGCCCAACAGTTCCCACCAAGAGCAGCACTAGGCGACAGAGGCAAGGAAAAACTTCCTTTTAAGAGGCAGAAACCTCGATCAGAACCATGGCTCAGGGTGGGCGGCCATCTGCCTCGACCGGTTGGGGTGAAGGAGAGAGAGAGAGAGAGAGGGAGTGAGAGAGAGAGAGAGGGATGGAAGGAGAGAGAGAGGGGAGGGAGGCAGCCTACACAATATACACACAGAGGTACAGACAGTAAAGGTAATGTTGCTATAGACTAAATGAAAAATGGTACAGATATTTATAGTAGTGTTAATGGTAACAGTCGTAGTGTTAATGATTATAATAACAATAATAATAATAAGACTAGCAACAATAGTCGTTGAAGCAGAGGGTGTCGTGCAGGAACACGGGGGCAGCAGGTGACCCGCAGCCACAGATCCAGACTCCACAGCTCCAGAGCCAGAAAACCTGCAGGAAGTGATAGGAGGAGAGAGGAGAGGGACGAGAAAGCACAAGACTACCAGAAAGGGGAGAAGTTGAGTTAGTAACATGCAATAATGGGATGAGGTTGCATACAGAGGGAGAGAAAGTAGAGGAGAGAGGAGCTCAGTGCATCATGGGAAATCCCCCGGCAGTCTAGGCCTATAGCAGCATAACTAAGGGATGGTTCAGGACTCACCTGAGCCAGCCCTAACTATAAGCTTTATCAAAGAGGAAAGTCTTAAGCCTACTCTTAAATGTGGAGATGGTGTCTGCCTCCTGAACCCAAACTGGAACCTGGTTCCACAGGAGAGGAGCTTGATAGCTGAACGCTCTGGCTCCTAGTCTACTTTTGGAGACTCTAGGAACCACAAGTAACCCTGCATTCTGGGAGCGCAGAGCTCTGGTGGGGTAGTAAGGTACTATGAGCTCTTTAAGATAAGATGGTGCCTGACCATTAAGAGCTTTGTAGGTAAGAAGAATGATTTCAAATTCTATTCTGGATTTTACTGGAAGCCAATGCAAAGAAGCTAAAACAGGAGAAATATGATCTCTTTTCCTGGTTCCTGTCAGAACACGTGCTGCAGCATTCTGGATCAGCT